AATTTTACCAATTTCTAACATATCTAAATTTGTTGTGATCTTCAAATTTTGAATAAATACATCTGAAATTATTTCAACCTGAAAGATTTATTTATCAATGAAATCAAAAAAAGAAGTGTCAGATGATTACAAAGATCAAGGCTTTTTTACGAAAAATGTGCCAACATACCAATTATTTGAATTATTAAATGTAATTTATACATATCTAGAAAATTAACATTGGAATAAAACATTATTTAAACAACATTCAAACCTATTTACTTCTCAACGCAACCATTTTTCGTAATGGGTCTCAATAATATATTGAAGTCAATTAATCACTTAATCCGAAAACCTGATAAAGGTAAAAAAAAAAAAAAAGAAAAGAAACATATGCTTCATTTATTTTATTCAAGTTTAGTCTTTCGTTTAAACGAATATATACACATAATATTCTTCTGAAATCTTTAGATAAAACAAAAATCGGACATACCGCAGTTTCTAAAGTTTCTAAAAAAAAAATAGCAATCAAAAAATGCAAGAAAATAGCGGAAATTATTCGAATATGCTCACAAGAAGAGGCGATAAAATTGATTAATTCAGAGCTATTAGAAGATAACTCCGCGTCATCATTTATTTTTATCAATGTTGGTCCGCCAAAACCTAGAAAAAGACGACAGGCTTACAATGATTCCGGGAGACAAGAAGCAGCTCGAAGCGCGTTACCCAACTTCAATGATTCCGGAAGACAGGAAGCAGCTCGAAGCGCGTTACCCAACTTCAATAATTCCAGGAGACGAAAAGCAGCTCGAAGCGCATCATCCAACTTCAATAATTCTGAGGAACAAGAAGCAGTTCGAAATGCGTCACCCAACTTCAGTGATTCCGAGGAGCAAGAAGAATTTCGAAGCCTGTCACCTGATTTATTTGTTGAATGGCCATTTTGTCTACAATCTTCTTCAGAATATTTTCCTTCAGAATATATGGGTACTTTGAAAACGGATTCATGTGATCAATAAATCACATGATGCTAGACGCATAAAAAAAGACTAAAATGAAAACTTGTAAAAATATTATGAAAATAGTTGTGTAAACTACTAAAATGTATTATCAGCTTTACCAGTTATAAATTTACAAAAGTTTAAAATTTTTCTGTATAGTATATGTTTGGGTTGATTAAGTGTCATGTTATTGATGATATCACTACCTAAGTGTCATTTTATTGATGATATCACTGCCTAAAGTGTTATCTAATCCGTAATCTATAATACAAATTTTCCGATGCTTCATCATATTATCCAGAATTGATATAATCAATCATTAAAATAATGGGTCCAATGTTTAGTACCTTATGGCAAATAGCCATGTGACATTTAAAAAGCGTCATATATTTTATATTTTGCGTATGTGTGCTGCCAATGGAAAACCCACCATTGGGCTTTCAATTATATTTTGTGTCCAGTTTGTTCCCTAAGTACTATCTATTGAAAATCTATCATCGGGCTTTCATTTATATTTTGTGATGAATTGTCACAAAATATGATTGAAACCCCAATGACAAATGTTTCCCTAGACGACGCTTAGGGAATAAACTGGACACAAAATATAATTGAAAGCCCGATAGCAGGTCTTCTCTTTGCAGCACTCATTTAAGATAGTAATCTTATATGCGACTGTCGTCAGACAGACACCTACCTAATACTCTTAATATTTGAACGATTCACTCTACTGAATAGATTTTGGTAATCCATATGGTTCATTCCCAAGGGCATCTAAAAAAATCGTGGCAACAATAGCCGAATATTTTTACTGTACCTTCTCATATGAAGTTGCAGAAAATTGACGATTTTTATGTTTTCTAATTTTTTTGAAAGCAAAAAGGATAAGAAAATTGAAATGCGTGGTAAAAGTCTGGCATTTTTATACAACAAAAACCAGTATCTGACTCAAAATGCAAATTAGTCCGACTTTCACTGTACAATTTCATAAAGTGATTTCCTTTCAATGAATTTCAGAAATTTTAATTTTTATTAACAAAACTCTTTGTTATATATTTAATGTTGTTTTATAACAAAAAACTTTGGTATGTGTTCGGACCAAGTATGCCGTGATTTGCGCTGAAACTAAATTGTTTTGTTAAAAAAATCGTAAAATTACTCGGAGTTGATATTACATATGTACTGTACGTATGCACGTATTTTCCATTTTTCATAAAGTTATCTAACCTTGTTTGGATTACGATTAAAGATTTGATGCAAAATCGAGATATGAGTTCCTGGATTTGGTGTAGATCTGCTTTCGTGAAATTGATTGAGGAATTTTTTCATTTACTTATTTATATATATTGTACATCGGAAGCGTCGAAATAGAAACTCACTAAATTTAGAATCCACTTAGGTGGAATTAAGTTGAACTGAAAATTTATACCCATCCAAATATCCAGATGGTTAAGGAATTGTGAATAAACATAAAATTGATTCAAGAACTACTTAGTTGTTTATTTTAAAATTACAGACGATTTATACTATATTTAGACTTCGATTATGGCATCGGGTATTATTTAATTGATTGATAAATTGCAATTTTATAGTAGCTTGTCTCCAAGGAGTCATAGAATTTCATGGAGGAAAGGTACTTCTAAATACAAACCTTTGTAATGTTTCAAGGCAGCTTCTTAAATTAGGCCGGACCAACTTAATTCGGTGGTTTACATTACATTTCTCTCTCAAAAGGGGGGGGTAATGTAAACCACCGAATTAAATTGGTCTGGCTTTACATTGGAATTTTAAGAGCTAGTTACATTCTGACTTTACAATACCTTTGCCTTTTTTACATTTGAGTTGATCAATTCTATTGTAGCCAGCATCATTGTCGATTTTTGTAGATCATGATTTGCTGTAACGACCCAGCGTAGCCCGTAAAAATGGTAGCCGGTGTTACGACCAGTAGGAGAGCTTCGAAGATATTGGGTCGGTTTAGCTCCGATCGTGAACAAGGGGTTAGGTCGATTGTATATTTAAATCACGTGAATCAGAATTACGAAGTGATCTTTTATTACGATTCAACGGTCCTTCAGGTATAGGTTTAATTTAAGAATAAACGGATTTACAATTAGGGTTTTGAAGTTTCTCTTTATTATTTGTTGGTTTAGGGCACAAATACA